GTTTCTCTTTCCCGATGCCCACTGAGGTCACTAGTTCTCCTACCCGGTGCCCGCTGAGGTCACTGGTTCTCCTACCAGATTCCCGCTGAGATCACTGGTTCTCCTACCCGATCCCCGCTGAGCTCACTGGTTCTCTTACCCGATGCCCGCTGAGGTCACTGGTTCTGAAGAAGTATGGGAGAATATGAATATGAACACATTTAACTTGTTATTCTCATTCATATGTCCGAAATGTATGCTGATTCTATGTCTTAAATTATTCTTTGCTTTAACTGCATGTTTTTAGGAAAACCTAGTAATTTTACTTTTTTAAACTTGCATTTTTCTTCTAGACATAGATAGAACTAAAAATAGATTAGCCTAATTAACGAAATGAAATGGGTTATAATGGAACTTCTTGACAAAATAATCGATTATATTGGAGAAAAAAATTGATTATAATGGACTATAATGGATTATAATGACAACATTTTAGACAACATTTTCCCAGTATAATCGATTATTATCCATGAAACTCCGGTCCGGGACAGATTGGTATTTATAAATCATCCATAAAACCAGCTACAACAAGGTTGACAGACTCTAAGTTACCGCAAACTATAAACTCAGGGGTATGTATTAAATATTACAATCTAAGGGTTGCACAGAAAAAACCACGCAAGATTTGAAAATTCAGTTGAACCAATTACATTTTGGCTAGAATGAACTTGCAGTAATTGTTGCACACTCTGACTCTGATTCAAAAAGTGGGTAAACATAATCACGTCATAATATGTAAAATATGTATAATTATAAATGTTTTTGTCGCAACTGATCGCTGAGCATTAAAAAAAACTAAATAATTACCAAAAACATTCAAAAACCGATTCAGCGACAATTTTTATGTAGGCGTCATCAAAGAAGTGATCTAAAGCTGTGAAGGGATCTTGTTAACTATTTCTCCCCCTCTTTTTGGATGTTGTTAACTATTTCCCCCCTTCCTTTTGCATGTATTTTTTTGACAACCATTTCTGTATAAATTATGCATTTCAAAAATGTCAACAACTAATTGGGTTTTCATTTTCGCGCGTTCGTATTCTCTTTTTATATAATACATACGTAAAAAAAATTTATTAATCTATATTTTCTGAAAATTGTTTTAAGCTATTGAAAGTGTGGCCGCCAAAGTTGAATTTCTGAAAATCGAAATAGGGGGGGGGGGGATCGTTAACAAGATCCCGGTAAAGTTAAAGCTAATACCTTTGCTAATATAGATCACCGGATTTTTCGGAACTCATACTATTTGACATTGGCTGTTGAGGGAGAAAAACAAACAAGTTCAAACTTTTCAATGCAATTTTTGACGAAATTATAGAGACCAATTCAAAGAATTAGAAAGCTTACCCGCACTCAATAAAAAGAGAAAATAGTCGATCATATTATAATTATAATCGTACTCTTAGCAAATTTATAATTATGGCTATAAACACAAAATAACAGTTTATTTTAGTTCGGTAACCACCCGGGTTGACCAAAAATAGTAATCATACATTTTTCATATATGAAAAATATGCTAATCATATACTTTTCATGCAATTCCATAAGTACAGAAAATTGCATGAAAGGTCTATGATTAGTATTTTTCCATATATAGAAACTATATGACTAGCATTTTCCATAAACCAAAAATATTGATTTTTTACATTTTAATTTCTCAAAATTTCTTGGTTGTGTTCGTAACCAAACACAAATGGCATAAACCTTGGTTACCCAAACGTAGAAACCAAAGGTTAGGCTGTCTCGCAATAAAAATGCATTGGAAACAGCCTGAAATGTTTAAATTCTGTCTCACACAAATAATATAACGAACGTAACGAATTTTTATTTTTAGCAAAAAATTTAAAAGATGACTATATCTAAAATTTGAGTTTTTAAACTACCAGACATTGATGAAGGCATACAAAAGAAAGGGGAGTTTTAAGCGTTTTTGACAAAAGTTATGAAGAGAAAAGGAAAAAAATCCAATATTAGTATATCTAGGACTACGTTTTACACACAAAAAAATAATTTTTGCATGCAAATTTTTTTTTTCAAAAAATGTTTGTTCGAGAACGAAATTTAATTTGCGGTTGAAAAAAAACACAGAAAAAAAAATTTGGGGGGTCAATTTTAAAAATACTTTGAAACTTTTTGTCGTCCCAATCAAAAAAAATTGCTAATCATACGTTTTCCATATATGGAAATTGTATGATTAGCAATTTTTGACAAAAAGTTTTAGGATACACCGAATTTTATGCCAAAACAAGAGAAAAGTTGTTCCAAAATTCAATTACACCATTTTAGCAAAATGTATGAAATTTGTATGATTAGCATTTTTGGTCTATGGAGGTCAACACGGGCAACTGAAAAGCACACTGAACAAAACAAAAATAAAAAACGAAATAAAGCAATGACACAATTGTTGAATAATAAAGGATTATAATCCATTATGAGGGATTGTATTCAATAAAGTTTGAGATAAAAAAATCAAAAAATAATCGAGTATAATCGATTAAAAACTGTTAAAATGATTTTTATTGTTTCGGAAAATAGTAACATTTTAATGCAGTTTTAATCAATTATAATCAATTCTTTTTAAATTTTATAGAGACTGACAAAAAAAATCCAGCAAAATCTATTGTTTTTTCCTTTAACGGGTTGGACTCGAGTGCGGGTTGGAATTTGTCTTGGATATAATAGTCAGTTAGGTTCTTTGGTTAACTCATAGAGTAATTTCAGATAGGGTACACCGTCTGCTCGTCACGCTATCTTATTTTCGGTCGGATAGATT